TTAGTGCTGCATTGAACTGGCAACAGACCTGTTGAAAAGTGATTTCCAATCAGTTTGGATCAATTAAAACAAGACCAGCATTCCTGATTGCAATTTCATCCATGTGCAGCTTCAAGGAAAAACCATCTCCTTCTAATCCAATTTATACTTGCATTGTGCAAATATTTATACTTCCTTGTGCCTCCCGGGTGTGCTGATATTGGGAATATTCATCCAAAATCTGAGCTAGAAATTGAGACTCAGATGTACTGGAGTGTGTGTTTTGCCTTCAGGAAGGACCTTAATAACTTGGAGGTATTTTTTTATATCCCATAAAAACCTTCACGAAGAGGCTCCTGCTTCTGCAGGAACTTGGGAAGGATGACCTTCCCCATCCAGTGAAAAATTGTCTCAAAACCAATTAAAATTTCACCCTCTCTGGATAATGACAGCTCAAGCCAAGGTACTCACAGGTCCTTGAGCTGGAGTCCACAGGCTCCATCTTTTGGTCTTCCCACACCAGGAAGTTTTCCCTGTTCCGCCCTCTAACGTGGCCGGAAGATTTAAGTTTTACACCATGCCCACGGGACCAATTACCAAAGGGTCTCTGAGGCACCTGAAAACAGAATGAGCCTTCCCCAAGGGCCCTGGGATCCATCCTGAGGTTTCTCTGGGATTTTAGGGAAGGGATTCCCATGGCACATCAGAACTGATACCTGCAGGGCCTGAGCGATGTTGCTCACGTGCACGTGACTGGGAGGAGTGCAACACAAAATCAAGGATTTTTGCTGAAGACTTGAATTTGAAAGATTTTTTATTATTATTATTCTCTAATTCTATATTATCATTTAATTATATAATTGTATTTTTGTATAATATATATTTTATTTATTACATGTGGGAGGGGAAAAAAACTAACTCTAAGTAATGGACATACTTAAGGAAATTATTGCTTCATCTTTGCAATTATCAGTTTTCTTTTGTACTTTTGTACTTTTCCCTAGAGTAGATCCTAGATCCTGGAATGGTTTGGGTTAGGAGGGAGCTTAAAGTTCATCTTGTTCCACACCCTTGCCATGGGCAAGGACACCTTCCACTAGCCCAGGTTGCTCCAAGCTCCATCCACATGTGGCCTTGAACACTTCCAGGGTACAACCGCGCCTGCTGAAATTTTCTTCCTCTTTTCTTGTTCAGGGTTAAAAAAAAAAAAAAAAAAAGGAAATAATTAAAAATTAATAGGTAAAATAAATAAAGATCTGACTCTGACCCAAAAGTATGTTGAGAAACGTCTGGTTGACAAATGAGTGTTACTCCTTCCTCCCCTCTCACTTCCCTTTTCCCACTAGCTGTGCTGACTGGTTGCTGCTCCTTGCGAGACAACCTTTTGCTTGGGTCGATTCCCCTTCTCACCCTCCCAAAGCAGCTTTTACTTCCTCATTCCACCTGTGAGTCAGAAGTTCATTGCAAAAAGTCATTGGACCGGCTGCCAGTGCTCTTCTCCGGCTGCCGGTGGGTGTCCTTGCACCCAGGATGCATTGATGGCTCACCTCCACCTTGGTGGTCTCCACAGGTGCTCTCCAGCCTGCCCTGGTGTCTGGGGCAAGGTTTTCTGGTTTCCACCTGCCCATTTTGGACCAAAAAAGCTCGTTTTGAAAAGCCATGTTGCGTATCGTGCGCTTCAGCACGGGTTCGGGAGATCCACCTGCGGTCGTCTACGCTGACCAGAGAATCCTGGAACGGCTTGGGTTGGACGGGACCTTAAAGCTCATCCAGTTCCACCCAGGGAATCCAGGAGCTGCGGATGAGGAGCCCTGCCAGGTCCGCTCCTGCCTGGGGCTGAGCCCCCTCCATCTCCCTCCCCGCTGTCAGCTCTGCCTCTCGCACCTCCTCATCTCCCCGCTCGATACGGGCCCCGCGGCCACGGCCCGGCTGACAGCGGGAGATGGATGGGGCCGAGCCGGCTCCGTGGGGCAGGGACACGTGTGCGGTTGTGATGGATGGAGGGGGGCCTGGGGAGACGATTCCTCCCTGGTTTTGCATCAGCCCTGCTTCCAAAATCCGGTGCTGCCCACGCCGCCCCCTTGACCCCACCCCACAGCGTACGGGGGACACAGGGTTCCCCCCGTGTTAGGACGGGCACGGGAAGGATTTAAGTGCTGACCCCAAGGCAGAAGGGAAGACTGAGACCCAGCTTGGAGATATGCAAAGCAGGGAAGGATTTCAGTCCAGTGCCACCATCACTGGGGCACCAATGGGGAGAAAAAAACCGCCAGCATCCCCATGAGGACATCTCCTTCTCATCCAGATCCTTCCCCGGAGCTTCAGCATCCCTCATCCCACTGGAATACACTCTGTGGTCTGCAGTGAGAGAGTTAATAAAAGACTAGGGGGCTCTGGACTAGCCACCTGCTTTCCCACCATAGCCCCCTGCCCTGGTGTCTGTCACCTCCCTGCAAATATCCCTCAGCCCCACGGCGCTGGCTCGTCCCCATCCATCTCCCACTGTCAGGCCAGTGCTGAACACGGTGATGGGGGGCACAGGGGTCCCAGGCACCTGGCCAGAGACAGAACCCACACTGGGATGGGTTTAAGGGAGGGGGCAGCCTGGTCCTCCCCCCCACCCCACAGAGGCTTTGCCAGAACAGCCAATGCCTCAACACCTCACTGTGATTTTTAATATCAGGTGGCGACGGTAGCACACAGAGAGGGGCTTTGCCCGGAGGAGGGGGTCGGAGCAGCCCCCATCTCCCCTGCTCAGATCTGTGATAGAAAGGGGACATGGAGACCCCAAAACAGATGTCTCTCTGCAGCTCAGGGTGCCCCAAGCCCCGGCTGGGGACGAGTGGTGGTCCCAG